TGGAAAGCAATAAAGGACATTTGAAACAATAATTCTTAATCATATATTGATAAACATATAATAACATAAAAACAAGGTGTACTGTTTTGTTTAAAGCAAATACAAAATACTAGTGCAGGGTATTTCTTATTTGCTCTTTTGTTGTCTTTTCTGTAATGATAAATTGTAATAACAATAAATTGACCATTTAGTTGCAATTATACAATGTTTGTGGCTCGTGTACACGTGTCATGTTTGCATAATTATTTCCCAAGTTGTATAGACTTTTTTAAGCATGGTTTTCTTATTTAATATATCAAAAATATTTTAGAACGATGCACGTGCATTTGAATTACACAATAAATCCATTTTTCTTGGACTGAATGATCTAGGAAGTAGCTATCTTGTAATTGACCTCATTTTGGATTTTACTTTGATAATTAGATCCAATACACATCATTGTATGTACACCATAGCCGTGCAGATTATACGAATATAATTTCCATACATGATTTTAGATTTTGAATATTTAGTGTTTTAATTAATGAAAACGTGAATGTCTTAGTTCCATGTATCAGAATCTCTAAACATTCACGATTAGGGGAAGGTAAATCATATAAGATTCTTGATTTTAACTGATCTGATTCAAGAAATGGAAAGTTGTTTGTTGAATTTCGCGAAAAGCTATTTATGGCTTAATTATGCTAGCTGTCCCTAATTTTGAAGTGGTAGATTAGAGTGAAGGCAGTTAATCAACACCACTTACCAAAAACTGTTTGATTACTCTTTTAATAGCGAATAGTGGGATTGACCGCCCCAATATAACACCTCAACTGTTGAAAGAGCGAGCAAGTTCGGAAATGGGTTTAGATTCCACAACCCGTAGATTGCGAGTCAAGCGACTTAACCACCACACCATGCCAGATTCCATAAAGGGACGGAACAAAGCTGTTAGAAGAACTTGGGTGTTATTTCAAGTTACACAAACGAAATGGGTTGTTTTATAATGTCGCTTTGTAATATCAACCTCAGATGTTTTTGCCATGTTTCAATTTTGAGTGTTGTCTCTTCTAATTAATTAAATTATAAATTCAAAGTTGTCGTTAGTCATACATTGCCTGGAGGTGGCTCGCTCCTTTAGGCTGAGAAGTCGCAGTTTTAATTGCTTAAAAACCACTTCCACTGTAAAGCTGATCACATTGTTAAATTTAATCACTCAGCGTGATCCTCATCTTCTGAAAATAAAAAAACACACTAAAATATCTTTCTTATGCGTTGGCGTGGTTAAAGAATATCTTCAACTAATAGGAGATTTCACATGGACAACTTAAATGGATTTATATTCGCTACATTACAATGACAGTCTGATTGTGGTAGGTTGAAACTTGTTGATATTATTTAAACACTTAGAGATTTTAGTATATTGTTTTTAAACAATTTTGCACTGCTTTTCTGCTAACGTAATAAGGTTTGTGATTGGAGTTTCGTACAGAATTTAGAAACATTTTGGTTAATATTTGAATCTCATCTTTCTCTTATCCATTAGCTTCTTTTTAAACGACATTTTCTTTATATGGTCTCAAATTTGACCTATTCGACAGATAATACACGATTTTATGGACATATACGTTTGAGAAATCGATAAGAGAATTGGTTTCTAAAGGATACGTTTTTATTGTTCATTCTTGCTTCTGATCTTTTTTCAATTTCTTTCTCACATGATCAGAAAACAATTCCAGAACCATTTTCATGAGACTAGCTGCTAATGTAGCTTAGACATTCCTCTCTTATGTACAACCGCCTCTTTAAAAAGGGTTAGTTGTTCTTAGCGGTAATTGACGTTTGGAAACGATTTCTTTAAAAAATAAAGCCAACGTTTCTTCTTTGGTGTAACTTTAGTATTTTTAGCAAACTCTGGTTTTGTTGCTCAAGCTTTTTTACTTCCACAACATTAACTTCAAAGCTGACCAAAATGTCAAGTGGACACATAATCGAGAATTATCACACCCTATTAACTTGGAACTCATTATTACTGCCTTGTTTAACTTAGGGATATATTTTATAAGCAAGAATTAGCTACTGCATGAAACAATTGTACTGAGAACCGCCATTCGATATTCGGATTATCTGACTCGGTACGTATATTAGCATAAAAAAAAAAAGAGTTCACATAATGTAAATGTTTTCAATCAAATATAAGCTCTTAATAGCTCCTCACTTGGTGGGAGAGTAGGCTTAACTGCTAAGCTTAGTTGCCACCTGATTATGAATTTTTGAAATAGATTGGAAACATGAGGTTGAATAAATACATTTTTAGGCATGCTAACCTCTATTAAATTTGGGGATTTTGTTGAAATTTATCCACGAACCATAAAGTCCATAAAGAAGCCTGTTTTGTTTAAATTTTTCAAAAATACGCCGTTCTTTGACATACTATAAAAAAGCTGGCACATTTCTTATATTCAATGAATTTAATGTCAGTTGACGAACAAATATGTTTTCGTGTATAATCACATAAGCAGAAAATAATGTCTTACTGGTTATTGAAGTGACAGTTTTTTTATATATGCTGAATCATAACTGTTGTCTGAAAATAATAGTTAAATAGAAAGTACTGTTTATATTATCCGTACAGATATCCTAGGACTTAACACCTGGGTATATAGATAAAAGTGAATATTCAACTCCTTGTTAAATGTTCCGATTTCATGAATATAACTAAATAATACAGAATTTCCTGACGATATGAAGCAAGTAAAAAAAATGAGTGTTTGATAATTGATAAACAGGTTATTTTGTTTTGATTATTTCAGATATTCGCGCACTGTAACATACGGGCTATATTTGCTCGCCGTCTCTAATTTTGAACTGACAGACTAGAGGAAAGCCAGCACCCACCACCACTAAATCTAGGACTATTGTAATCAAGTAGTGGTATTTGACTGCCGCTGTTATAAAGGATTTCATACATAACAGAGAAGTTTTAATAACCTATTTACAACATCAGTCTATCGAAATAAAACTTTTACCTGTCTATACACCCGCTTCGACAGTTTTGTATCTGATTCATTCATACTTAATCTTGTAATTACCTCTCTAACAGACCCTACAACATTTGTTTAAACTATACCTTGATTAACTCTGAAACTGAATGTTTACAAAATCGTTATTTTCATATGAAAACAGTTTAGTTGTTCGAAAACAACTTCAGAATGGTATAAGATAATTTTACCCACAACTTAACAAAAAGTATAATTTTGACATTATTCATAAAGTCGTTATACTCTGTACTGGAATGTCAATATTCTCTCGTCTTTTTTTAGTGTATTCCAGCACGTGTTTTTTTATATATTTATAGTTGACAACTTGAACACATAAAGTAATGCTTGTTGGAATAGAATGTCCGTTTTCACATTGAATTTTATAGCAACGGTTAGTGGACCAAAACCAAAATAAGCACAACTTTCAAGATATTGACATTGTAAGTTATAACTGTATGTATCATTTTTATTTTATTTTATATTCATAAAGTAAACACATAAAGTAATGCTTGTTGGAATAGAATGTCCGTTTTCACATTGAATTTATAGCAACGGTTAGTGGACCAAAACCTTTTTATGTGTATTAGTACCAAAGTAAGCACAACTTTCAAGATATTGACATTGTAAGTTATAACTGTGTGCATCATTTTTATTTTCTTTTACATTCATATCTGAGTTTAAACGATATGTGTGTGTTCTATCGAAGTATACATTTGTTATGTTTCAATCTTATTCTTACAGTTGCGTTGATTTCTATCACTAGTCAGATACACTGTAAACAAGCTTTCTGCGTTGATTTCTATCACTAGTCAGATACACTGTAAACAAGCTTTCTGCGTTGATTTCTATCACTAGTCAGATACACTGTAAACAAGCTTTCTGCGGCTGGAAATCATATCCCAAGCAGTGAAAGGTTTGACATTTCTGTATCATGGCTTTCTTTAGGAAATCTCCTGTCGATGTTACATGACATTTATTTCCCGTCTTGTTTGCTTTCCACAGTATTGTTTTGCCATAACGTACCGCAAGGAAGGAGCCAGGCAATATGAGCTGAAAGCTGAGACGGAGTCGGAGTGTAACGCCTGGATACGTGCCATTGAAGGAGCAAGGTAAGTGAAGTGAAAAAATTTTTTACATTTTTTTATCTTTCGCCTTTGTTTCGTTTCATAATGTCAAATGTTATCATTCACATGCAAACTAAGGCACTTGTCAATGGTTTACTCTCTAACAAAAGTTATTCTGGAAAATATAAGAACGCTATACAGTTATATATAGTTATACAAACACACATACTGATAGAAAGATATAGACTGAAATATACTGGTAAGTTGCCGAAACTGGCACAAATATATGAGGAAGTTCCATAAATACCATCAAAAGGATTGCTGATATTTATTTACAAGTATCGCTCAAATGTCACTCTGTTTCTATATGTTTACTAGTTATTATTTTCTACGCTGTAATAACGGTTTCTCGCTGTTTTACTTTTTCTACCATAGAGGAACAAATTCCAGTTTAATTCCAGTACTCAGAAGATATGTTACAAAAGTGTTTAGGTGTTTGAGGCCGAAGCTGGCAAAGATGATTCCTTGAGGCAGCTCATATAGTAATACTATTACATCAAAATAGGTGAAACATGATTTACCATGAGGCAGCTCGTATAATATTAACATTACAACAGGATAGACAAAGCATGATTCCTTGAGGCAGTTCATATAATATTATTATTACATCAGGATAGGCGAAGCATGATTTCTTGAGGCATCTCATATAATATTAATATTACATCAGGATAGACCAAGCATGATTTCTTGAGGCATCTCATATAATATTAATATTACATCAGGATAGACCAAGCATGATTTCTTGAGGCATCTCATATAATATTAATATTACATCAGGATAGACCAAGCATGATTTCTTGAGGCAAATAATTGTCATTTATGAAAACTGATGGATGGCGTGATATTTTTGTCATGTGCACACATGGTGCTTGTAGTTTTCTGAAGCCCATTTGGTGTCAGAGTAACAATGTAAGAATTGAATAACAAATAAGAGCGAAACGTTTTATCGTTTCTGAGTGTTAAAAAAAAGGACGCATAAGAGAAACTACACTAGAAAAACAAGCGAAGAGACGATTAAATTTTGGAACAAAATGGAAAAAGAAACCAAGAAATTCGGGGGTTGAAAGAAGAAAAAAAACTTAAATTTAAATACTTAAACTGTGAGTAAAAGTTCAGTAGCGCTCTCCAGATTGTTTATTCTCGGCTTCTTTTGAAGAGTCGGTAAAGCCGAAAACGAGGCTTTATTAGGGATGAAAGAGACGCTTCTGATTCTTCAAAAGAAGCCGAGATCAAGCAATCATAAAAGCGTTGCTGAAGTTTTACTCACAATTTAGGTGTTTGAATTTTATTTAAACTTATATATATTCTATTGTGCAATAAAGAAAAACATATTTTTAAAAAAATAAAATAAGATCAACATCTAAGTTTCTGATTATAACATGGATCATTTTTAGATCCAAATTCATTACATACCGCGATATAATCGAACTTTAAAAGAATACTTCTCCAGATCTCATGCTGTAATTGGAATTATTTCGCTCATCATCGACCATATTTGTTCAGATTATTTTTACAGTTTTATTTTTACAAGCTTCAGCGATGGATTTCCAAGTCCTTAGACAACACATCTTGACTGAGTTTTCAGAGACAATCCACTGAATGTAAGCATCGGCCCCAGAGACCACGTTTTCAGCAGACAAAATGCACTAGAGTTCATTGGTGTTGCATTGAGGAAGTTGACAGGTGATTGGTCAAGTGGGGTTGCTGTGATATCACTTTTACGGTTATCTTTCTTGTGAAGACAGCCATTGGTTTCAAAGTATGGCTATCTGCTTGCTTTTGATTCTTCATCAACTTAAAATTTTTGTTTATTATATATATATATATATGCCCCCTCCAGAGGCACAGCGGTATGTCTGCGGACTTACAACGCTAGAATTCGGGTTTCGATACCCGTGGTGGGCAGAGCACAGATAACCCATTGTGTAATTTGTGCTTAATTACAAACAAATATGTACATATATATATATATCGCAATTACTTTTTTTTGGATCACAGGGTTCTCTTTCTTAACTACAGATTTCATTTTGTGGATGATGACGTTTTCAGAAATGACTTAGGATGTGTTTTCAGAGCTTATTCTTGTTTTAAATACTTTGTTAAGCGTGTTATTCCGCTTTAACAGAGAATACTGAAATCTTCCTTCTTTAAAATATAGTGTCATTTGAACCTACATCGATAAAAAATATCACGATATGAATATCCTCTCTCCAACGTTTCCTCCAGCCATAAAGCTTACCATGGTAAAAGTGAATGATCAGAATGTTCTCATCTGCTGGGCTAGGCTTGATCAGGTGGTTAGGGTGATCGACTCGCAATCTGTGGGTCACGGGTTCGAATCCCCGTTCCACCAAACATGCTCGCCTTTTCAGCCGTGGTCCAGCCATAAAGCTTACCATGGTAAAAGTGAATGATCGGAATGTTCTCATCTGCTGGGCTAGGCTTGATCAGGTGGTTAGGGCGATCGACTCGCAATCTGTGGGTCACGTGTTCGAATCCCCGTTCCACCAAACATGCTCGCCTTTTCAGCCGTGGGGGCATTATAAGTGACGGTCAATTCCACTATTCGTTGCTAAAAGAGTAGCCCAAGAGTTGGCGATGGGTGGGAATGACTAGCTGCCTTCCCTAGTTTTTCACTGCTAAATTAGAGACGGCTAGCGTAGATAGCCCTCGTGTAGCTTTGTTGAACTTCCAAACTAAACGCATCTGCGTTGACACGCCAGGGTACTGGCATATGCATTTCGCTATAATTAAATGCGATTAAACGCCTGTACATACAAGGTAGTGGATTTTCTAAAACAGCCCTGAAATATAATTACACATCAATCTTTTTTTAGTTACTAGTTGGTATAATGGGAAATTGATTTTCTATTTTTTTATAACATTAAACAAGAGGCAAATGTAATACCATTCAATTAATTTGAGATTATGACAGCTACAATTATGTTTTTAAACATAAGGTATTATAATGAACATGAAAAATAAAAAAATGCAACAAAATGGCGTCTTCCAGTTAGGGTATCTATTGAGTTCAAGTCGATATTTGAAATACAGTGATAATTGCATTGAAATTTTTATACTTGAGATATAAGTTTGCTGCTATATATATGCACATTGATGTTCTATTAATTTTTAGCACATTTTTTCTTAAAATCAAAGTGCTAGAAAATAGTCGGATTTGGCAAAAATTATTAACTTGATAAGGAAAAAATCACTACAGATATAACAAATATATTATTCTCTTAGAGCTTAGATCCTATAGATAAGTTGCATATCATTATCAGCACAAAACTAAAAGCAATGAAACTATGTTAATTAAGAAATCTATATGATGCAACTCTGGGACTAAAGCATTAGCCGAGGTTAACTCTTTATAAGAACCTGTTCATACTGGAGTTTTGTTGTTGTTGTTATTTCGTACTTTATACGGTCCGGTCCGGTTAGGTTAGAACAGTGTGGACGACGAAGTTCGATTGGCAAACAAACCAAACCTAACCTAACCAAACCGAATCCACTAGAAGGGTGTTTTCGGTCCGTATGTTAAAAACTGAATTTGTTTCGCTTGAAAAAGTTTAATGTGAACATTGGAAGATCTTGGTGAGTGCTTACAAAACATGGAAGTGAACCGTGAAAAACGAACCTAATGTGAATACTCCCTATTAATACTAGAAATAAACGACCTTATAACACCAAAATCTTGTTTTTATTTAATTAGACACTCAACGTTTCGCTTCACAGCTTCTTCACGAGGGTTCACTAAAACACAAACCAATACTGACAATACAAAGCTTAAAATGGTTTAAATAATAACTTCTATTCGAATCCATAACGTGCATTTGTACAGAGTGCGCTTGACATATTAAGTAGTAAATCTAGCTTTTTGTTGAAATAATTAACTGTTACCTGTAGTAAACAAACGTTTTATCAAGGTTACAGAGTGAAATAACAAAAAGATAGGATAAAAAATAATTAAAATTATAGGTGCCATCCTTTGTCCATATTCATCTGTAGTCGCAGTTGTTCGATGAGAAGAGCTTCTTTGAATTTTCTGTCAGTGTACTTGATGGCTTTGGAGAGGATTTGTGAGGAGAATGATGGTTTCAAATCAGGTGTTATTTGTCCATGATTAGTTAAAAAATGATTTGCAACTGCGCTTCTTTCATGTTGTTGTTTATAAAGAGAGTCAATATGTTCTGTCATCCTTCTGTATAGGGTTCTTCCGGTTTCTCCTATGTACGTATGATGGCAGATGTTACATATAAGCTGGTAAACAACATTGGAGACAAGACACTCATCTTTAGATTGTAAACACGTTTTTGTAAGACAGTTGGCTTTATTACATTGTAGGGTAGTGTACCGAGATTTTGAAAGTTGGCTTTTTATGGTTGGACCTGGCCGTGCTGTAACTTTAATTGGCAGTTGAGATTTCTTGACTATAGTTTTTATTTTCTTGTAGAAATTAAATAATGAATAGAATTTATTACAACAAATGAAAAAAAAACCAAAAACATACGCATGTGCATGTACGAAATTTCAACAATGTATCTCTATCTAAGAAAACATTATTACCGATTATTAGAAATCTATTAAAACAAGTCTGAAGAATAATGCACTAGCCAGTACGTAATGTAGATACAAACATGCAATATTTATGGTTCGTTAACTTATATAATCTGAAATCCTAAACACGCTGGGCATATTTCCCAATATATTGACGTGTTGATATTTAGCTGCTATAAGCGTCTATACAGCTTAACTTTAATTTTCTGAGATTACCATAAATCTGTGTGGTACAATTTTGTATAAAAAAGCTAATTTACATTGACATAAATCAACCCTTACGTAAATTAACTTGTAGGTTTCGTCTTTATTGGGATCTAGATACTTTTCGGGATCTGGGAGGGTGAGGCATAATATTCCACCTCCTGTACTGGTGTTAAATGGTGTACATCACACAAAAGAAGGTGTTGATATCACTTAAAGTT